GCAAGTAGCGGCGTCAAACAGCCTGGTTGACTAGACCACCAACCATGAGGCCTGGCCAGAGACCGGGCCACTAGGCCATTGATTCCCAAAACCAATAAAAAAGAGGATAAAATAAAATAAAAAGCTTGCGAACAGACGCAGCTGTTGGCAACATTCATCTATCTACCCGCAACTAACACACGCACGCACGCACACGCACGCACGCACGCACACACACACACGCGCGCGCACGCACACACACACACACACACACACACACACACACACACACACACACACACACACACACACACACACGCACGCACGCACGCAACCAAAATTTGTTGAGCCATCTAATATAGAGTTGAACACGGCTCAACAACCCGCAGTTATGGCGAGGTGAACGAAGGCCACAACACGTGCCCACTCAACCCTTGTCCTGTGCACTTGCCCAAAAGGTTTATTAGCAAACAAACCTTAAAAGCATTTGCGTCCTGTGTGTGCGCGCGCATGATCCACTGATCCATGCATGATCGCTGAAGTATTTATAATGTTGCAATGGTCGACTATTATGCAAAGCTAGGGGGGGGGTGCCGGCTGCACTACACCACGATAATATTTATGCAACAATTAGTTTAGGTCAAAAAAAAATATCACTCTGCCAAACAGTATTGTGAAGGGAAGGAAAAAAAAAGTATAATTGAAGTTAAAAATGCGAGTAATAAACATAACCCACATTCCCCACGGCGTGCGACTCAACACAGGATGATGAATCAGAATGCAGGCGAGAAAATGGCAAAAATGACTCGTTATAAAATGTCTCGTTACCAGTGCCCCCCCAGTGCGGGTACTGGGCCGACACCGTCCCCTTCACTCTATTGTCACTCCCAATAAAACCGCCATTAATCCTGCACATTTTGATACAGCTCACCCCCAGGCATCTGAACTCAAACTTCAGACAACCAATTAGACCAGAGTTCGAGTCCGAGGCAGGGCACGAAGTGTGGTCAAATTTCCTTACATCTGATGCCACAGGCAACCGCTGTCGGTCAACAGTGACCTCGATAAGCCTAACAGCATTAACCAAAAAATAACAAAATCGAAAAGCCACATTGGGTATATTTGAATTATTTTTACCACAAGAACCAATTATGTGTTGCCAAAGAAGCTTCTGAATGCTGACACTGATCACCAATACTCCCAAAACACTTCTCACACTCCACCTGAAGCAACTGGCCATATTCTTCCCGTGATCCTCATCCAACTCTTCCAAGAAGCATTCACTGTTACGGTAGGTAAGCACTGGCCAAGAGTAGCTGGAACATGATGAGTAACCAGTGAGTCGCCGTGATCACCTTGAGTCTAGCCCTCAATGGTGGCAGCTGATGGGATCGCATGATTCAACCCATCCCTCTCAGGACTCAACACTTCATCAATCATACATGTTGTAGCATGGATCAATCTCTTAACACTCCAGCAGTTCTATGTCCAATGACTTTTCTTTATTATTATTAATGATGGGAACCCCGATGGCACAGACACTTGCAAGACTATACCAACCCCAAACGTGTCTACGTCCTGTGCAATATATCTTTAAATACTCACGAGAGAAACGTTCACCAGAACTGAATACACACACAATAAGGAATAAAAATACAACGGGTCTGTTGTCCTGTACACAACAGGAAATATTCAACGCTAACTCTCCGAAAAAAACAGGTTGCTCCGCCCCGTTTATTAAGACAAAACAGTCATTCAACCGTGATAATAAAAGCCACAGGTAACCGCAACAAGTGAGCAAATGTATATATACACGCTGACATGAAGAGTGTCTATAATAATTTATGGGCGCTCGACCTTGTGCAAGAAAAACACACAAGTATTTGTACAACTTAACCTTGATACCCAAATATCTTGGCATTGTCAAGAGTGACCAACCACGCAATATTTATGCTAATCTGGCCAACTTACTGACAGTCATTTCATGTTGGAATGCACAACCGGCCTTACACCCTAAAATGTAATGATAATGATTATGACCCTTTTTAATTGTGCAAGGGAGAGTATACTCACCTGTTTGTACTCGCCAGCTTATGCCTGAATGATCGAGCTCCAGCTCTTGGACTCTGCTTTTCCTAGCCGCGGTATGTACATTTATCAATCTATGTCTAAGCGTGTATGGATGTGAAGTATGGGACCAACAAAATGTTGACCTTGGTAAGCTTGGCGATGAGTCACAATAACGTGGCTAAAGTATGTTGACCAGACCACACACTAGCAGGTGAAGGTTTTAGGCTTAATTGGTAAGCTTAATTGTGAAGACAATGTTATAAAAGGTATCTTGGGTGTCCATCCTTGCTCTCTCCTGCACCTGGCCGGGTGTCCGTACCTACACTCGAGGAAATAATTCACAAAGGAATGATAAAATTTTGCTTGAAAGGAATCGCCCATCCAGTAAACTATCAACTTTTTTGTTTTTCAGGTACTCTCTTGTCACTGCCGCTACTACTTCCCCCGGGAATATAAACTTAATTGTTAGGAAACATAACTTAAGATTGAGTGATATATGTAATGGAGTAGCGGGTGTGGAGCATACCTGGAGCATACTTTGAGAAGGTTCTAGTTGTTGTTGTTCTCCCCGACTTGTGATAACTTTGTCCAACAGGCTGTTTGTTGCTTCGAGCGGCCCGCAGGCCCTCATATCCACTACAGCCTGGTTGGTCCGGCACTTCTTGCAAGAACTTATCTAAGTGCCTCTTTAATACATCCACCTTTGTTCCAGCATTATTTCTAATGTTTGCTGGGAAGGATGTTGAATAGATGTGGACCCTTGATGGTCGGACAGTGTTCTCTGATTGTGCCTATGGCACCTCTTCTCTTCACTGGTTCTATTCTGCATTTTCTTCCGAATCTTTTGCTCCAGGATGTTGTTATTCTACTGTGCAAATTTGGGATTTGGCCTTCAAGTATATTCCATGTATATATTATTTGATGCCTCTTTCTCGTCTCCTTTCCAAAAGACTATATTTTAAGAGCTTTGAGACGGTCCCAATAATTTAGATGTTTTACAGGATCTACAGAACTGGATAACAACTGGTCAGCAGGGAGACCCTTCCCCCTCCCAGCTGGATATTTGAAATTATGAAGCAACTACTGTCACAGGGAAATGGATTACCGGCAGGCCTTTAGAGTCCAACTGACGTCAGAGCTATGTTGTGCGAGCTGTGTTGGGAGTCGTTTCCAGTCTGAGTAGCCGCAGAATGTGTGTAGAATGTCGAGAGTGAGTGAGTGAGTGAGTGAGTCTGAGTGAGTCTGAGTGAGTCTGAGTGAGTCTGAGTGAGTCTGAGTGAGTCTGAGTGTCTGAGCGCGCGCAAATATCTGTAACATGGGATGGTTAGTTTATACGAGTTCTGCCTTCCAATTGTCTTTACTGTGTTTTGTGACATAACTTACGACGAGTGTTATACCCCTCAAATGTTAAACTTGACTCTTAACACTGTGAAAGATGATATATTTATAAATTAAATGGTCACTCTACGCCTAAAATATAAGTTTGACTTTGACTGATATACACCTGTTTAATCCAGCCAGTATTGCAGTAATTTTAACAACTTGTTACGAACTTAGTTTCTGAATATGATAATGACATTGTTCCGGTTTGGTGCCTTCTTTTGGTAATTACTTACGTGTTGTGCTGTTATTGTGACTTTTCTTAAGTACAGTAAATTAATTAAAAGTTTCTCAAATATAATTGTACAACAATTTACGAATCGCCTTTAATTTGATTAAGTCTATCACACTGCCTTATTGACCAACTAATAAGTTTGCTGTTGGGCTTAATAAAGGCTCATTAACCTCTGGAGAGTTGAAATTGACTCCTCCCACGTGATTGGCCAAGGATGCAGTGTGAAACTGCCACGTACATCAGACTCGCGAAGATTCAGAGTGATACTATGTGTTAATTCCCATCATATAAAGGAAACGCGTATAAAACGCATCCCAAAAAACTTCATAACAGAACACAACAGGTGTTCAACACCTATTAACACATGCCAACAATACCCGACACTTGGTAATATGCTGCAAATATATCGGGATATTTATATGCAAAAATGCGGCTTGAGAAATTCAAGGAATAAAATTAGACATGGTCGAATAAACTTTACAATTCGCTGCCTCCTCCTCCTCCTTTAACTGTGGATTCCGGGCCAGTGTTCTCATGTTCCAAGTGAACAATGAACAGTTCACCTGCTCCACTCGCCTCGAGAAGGTTGTGAACAGGTGGAACGTCTTTTGAACCATAAGTTATAAAAATAACCTAACGGCATTTATTTCAGTCTATTGTCACTCTTGATAAAGCCAATATAGAAAACTTGTTCAAAATGAGACCGTTAAGAAACAAAAAAATAATGAAAGGAAACGAGTTCAATTGATGTTACACACACACCACACACACACACACACACACACACACACACACACACACACACACACACACACACACACACACACCCACACACCCACACCCATTTCGTGCATTAATTTGACAACGGTTTTAATCAAAGTAACCAAGAGCTATTGATAAAAAAAACTCGTCACTTAATATAACCCGCAAATAGACTTGGCCATCTTGAGGTTATCTTGAGGTTATCTTGATTCTTATTATCTTGATTGATTGAGCTCATCATAACTATACAAACAAAAAATCATCATCCAAAGTCATTAGACTAAAACGAATAAATAATAATTGAAATAGATTGGATAGAGGAGGAGGAGAAGGAGAACAAGAGACAGGAAGAGAGAGCCCAGCCAATCACGGCCCCACACACCTGTAATAGCATTAATTATCAACAGGTGAGATCAATGGCTACTTCCGCAAGGTCGCGTAATTGAGTTCAGTGGTACACCTGTTGGTGTATTACTCCTTGTGACCCCTTTGTGACCCCAGTCGACAACACCCCCCCCCTCAATGGACCCCCGCCCTGGACCCCCAGCACAATCCTTCAGCAACACTGGCTTACCTCTAACTGGGGCTGATCGCCTTAGACGTGTAGAAAGGCTATCTCGTCTCTCTGAAACAAAGTTTAATAATTATAATTAATCCAAACTATTATTAATCACAATCCAAGTAATTAATCCTAATAAATTATAATTAATAATAATAATAATCAGACTATCCGCCAGATTATCTGCGACTATCTGTGGAGGGCCACCTTTCCCACCCCTCCCACCAGCTGCGGGGGGGGGGCACCTTTCCCACCCCTCCCACCAGCTGCAGGGCCACCTTTCCCACCAGCTGCAGGGGCCACCTTTCCCACCAGCTGCAGGACCACCTTTCCCACCAGCTGCGGGGGCCACCTTTCCCACCAGCTGCAGGGCCACCTTTCCCACCAGCTGCAGGGCCACCTTTCCCACCAGCTGCAGGGCCACCTTTCCCACCAGCTGCAGGGGCCACCTTTCCCACCAGCTGCAGGACCACCTTTCCCACCAGCTGCAGGGGCCACCTTTCCCCACCAGCTGCAGGGGCCACCTTTCCCACCAGCTGCAGGGGCCACCTTTCCCCACCAGCTGCAGGGCCACCTTTCCCACCAGCTGCAGGGGCCACCTTTCCCACCAGCTGCAGGGCCACCTTTCCCACCAGCTGCAGGGGCCACCTTTCCCACCAGCTGCAGGGGCCACCTTTCCCACCAGCTGCAGGGGCCACCTTTCCCACCAGCTGCAGGGGCCACCTTTCCCACCAGCTGCAGGGGCCACCTTTCCCACCAGCTGCAGGGGCCACCTTTCCCACCAGCTGCAGGGGCCACCTTTCCCACCAGCTGCAGGGGCCACCTTTCCCACCAGCTGCGTCATGGCAGACAAGACGAGGGCTTAATGCACCTCTACACCGTCTACTGGCATGCTAATGAGATTCACCATGACAGCCAAAAAATGCTAATCGATTGGAGAAGAAGAAAGGCGATTTTCCTCCTTAATGAAGGCGAGTGCCTGAGGCTGGGGGGGGGGAAGAGAGCGCCAAGTGGCCCTTGTATAACAACAGTGGTTATCAAACGGTAACTGTGAAGTAATGACCACAATACACCAAGACAATTGTGATTGTAGAAGAGTTTATTTATGGCAGAACGGTGTTCAAATGTATACAAGGAATACTGATGCTATTTATACAGCGGTTAGTGAGAGTTGACGGTAAGTTATGCACGGAATTTGTTTTTCAAATTATTCGCCAATATGGTGAGCTAAATGGTAAATGTTTGTGACACTTGGTATGTTTGGCAGGGCGTGGTGCAGGTGTGGTGCAGGTGTGGTGCAGGGGCGTGGTGCAGGGGCGTGGTGCAGGTGTGGTGCAGGGGCGTGGTGCAGGTGTGGTGCAGGTGTGGTGCAGGGGCGTGGTGCAGGGGCGTGGTGCAGGTGTGGTGCAGGTGTGGTGCAGGTGTGGTGCAGGGGCGTGGTGCAGGGGCGTGGTGCAGGGGCGTGGTGCAGGTGTGGTGCAGGGGGGCGGTGCAGGTGTGGTGCAGGGGCGTGGTGCAGGTGTGGTGCAGGTGTGGTGCAGGTGTGGTGCAGGGGCGTGGTGCAGGGGCGTGGTGCAGGTGTGGTGCAGGTGTGGTGCAGGGGCGTGGTGCAGGTGTGGTGCAGGGGCGTGGTGCAGGTGTGGTGCAGGTGTGGTGCAGGTGTGGTGCAGGTGTGGTGCAGGGGCGTGGTGCAGGTGTGGTGCAGGTGTGGTGCAGGTGTGGTGCAGGTGTGGTGCAGGTGTGGTGCAGGGGCGTGGTGCAGGGGCGTGGTGCAGGTGTGGTGCAGGGGGGCGGTGCAGGTGTGGTGCAGGGGCGTGGTGCAGGGGCGTGGTGCAGGTGTGGTGCAGGTGTGGTGCAGGTGTGGTGCAGGGGCGTGGTGCAGGGGCGTGGTGCAGGGGCGTGGTGCAGGGGCGTGGTGCAGGGGCGTGGTGCAGGGGCGTGGTGCAGGGGCGTGGTGCAGGTGTGGTGCAGGTGTGGTGCAGGTGTGGTGCAGGGGCGTGGTGCAGGTGTGGTGCAGGTGTGGTGCAGGTGTGGTGCAGGGGCGTGGTGCAGGTGTGGTGCAGGTGTGGTGCAGGTGTGGTGCAGGTGTGGTGCAGGTGTGGTGCAGGGGCGTGGTGCAGGGGCGTGGTGCAGGGGCGTGGTGCAGGTGTGGTGCAGGTGTGGTGCAGGTGTGGTGCAGGGGCGTGGTGCAGGGGCGTGGTGCAGGGGCGTGGTGCAGGTGTGGTGCAGGGGGGCGGTGCAGGCGTGGTGCAGGGGCGTGGTGCAGGTGTGGTGCAGGTGTGGTGCAGGTGTGGTGCAGGGGCGTGGTGCAGGGGGGCGGTGCAGGCGTGGTGCAGGGGCGTGGTGCAGGTGTGGTGCAGGGGCGTGGTGCAGGGGCGTGGTGCAGGGGGGCGGTGCAGGCGTGGTGCAGGGCGGTACAGAAAGAAAGAAACTAAAAAATTACAAGACATTAGAAAAAGTTCTTTCCAATGTCTCCGAGTCAGAGACGTTACAAAGAACATTTTCAGTGTCAATAGCTAGTTAATGGAATGCATTAGGAAGTGATGTGGTGGAGGCTGACTCCATACACAGTATCAAATGTAGATATGATAGAGCCCAGTAAGACTCAGGAATCTGTACACCAGTTGATTGACAATTGAGAGGCGGGACCAAAGAGCCAAAGCTCAACCCCCTCAAGCACAACTAGGCGAGTACACACACCACACTCCAATTAAACGGTCAGTCCTTGTTACAGCTCTCTTGTACCCCCTTCCCCCCCTATTGGTCACAGATACAGCTGAACTCCACTGTAATCACACTAGAATGTACACAAGACAAAATATAGATTGTAAATTCTCAGCTTCCGACACTACTTTGCTTTAGTCAACATTCACCATCAACATCCTTCTCCTACACATCAATCTCAGCACATCTGTGTCGGCTACAACGGCATCATCATCTACTTCTTCATCCCAGTCACATCCTACTCAAATATTTATACTTTGACCTCCCTCGTGACCCCATTTATACACACACTAAACAACCTTGGGGTGGGGGGGGGGGGGGATCTCCTCCCCCATGTATATCACCCACGTTGTTATTCAGGAAGTTGACGAAGTATATTAATACGACTTCGCTGCATTTAGCAACATTGCACGCGCGCGCGCACACACGTTGATCACAGCCACTCTGCGCAATATATTTATTGGCCGAGGTCATGTGAAACTAAGTACGTTCTTCACTGGTCTCGTTATTAGTAATAATTCTACTTTAGTACTTCTCTAGGTTCTCCATAGCCTCCCACACCATAGAGATCCTTGAGAGAGACCATTGTCCTCAGAACCGAATGCCGTACGGTGATGTACTGGCATAATCCTCCAGATATTCTCTAGTATCACAAACCTACTCTAATGCGTTTCTTTCCATGGCCAAACGCAGGAACAGTGCCCAAATACTTGGGCCATCGGGAATTGAACGCTGACCTGTAAGCAGCAGTCCCACTTTTGCACCCGCTCCCTTCATCATAAGAGGATACAGTTTATGCTTACACAACCCAGTGCTGGGGATCGTTTGGGGTAAGCCCTTTCCCATGTCAATATTAACATACACAAAGGGGAACCCCCAGTATCTTAACCCCCCTAATATTAACATGTTTTCTGGCTCATGACTCGGGTGCCAGTAGCCTCGTTGTTAAGGCGTCGGGGAGATTAGTAACCAATTATCGTGACTGACTCATTAAATGGTATTGCATCATGTATTCTCAGTGGTGCATAATATACTGAAGAATGCTTTGTGACGACGAGGGCCTCGTCCGCTACGACCATATCCCCCCCACAAGGTCGTCTGCCTTTGTGTTGCGTCGCACTTGAGCGACGCAACACACAAGTATATCGCACGGAGCCTTCGTCAAGTCTCGCATTTCATAGCAAATTTGCGGTAAGCGAGAACAGACTCATGCGCAGGCCAGTCGAGACTGACCACTACCCACAGCACAGACCCCAGACAGACTGGTAATACATGTGCAACTTTCACAACGATTATTATTTTCTTCATTTGTAAATTCAGTCCAGGAACACTATTGCCGGACACGCGTGGGGGTGTATTCACATATTTATATTCTCCTGTCAGTATCTGCAGGATCGAGATGCTAGCTCCTGGGACCCAAACCTTTCTAACCGTTGGTTCTCTAAGGCACTGACTCCTGACCTATTTTCTCTATCGTATACACACTATTTCTCACTCTCACGCACGCGCGCACACAGACAGACGCGCGCGCAACAGCACACACGCGTACCAAGCATCAACATTGATTCAGCAAACTAAATCTTGCTTGATCAACAGTATTCGTTGACCAACTCTGTCAACGAACACTGGCCAGCGTGCTATGACAAGATGACAGAAATAAAACAGGCCAGCCAGGGGGGGCCGAGCAGGCTGCATTTTCCTGGACTGCCAGAAAGTTGACACCGTTTCTCACAAGCTAATTCTATACAAACTCTAAAAAACCGTTTAATGTATCGGGAAGGGTACTAAAGTGGGTGAAGGAGTATCTTTCAGGGAGAAGATAAAGAGCCATAGAGGAAAACTATCAGAATGGAGAGTATCGTGAGTGGAGTGCCTCAAGGGTTGGTATTATGAGGCCCATCCTGTTATTAATGCATGTAAACTCCCTAAACAGGAAGTAAACTCATTCTTATTTATGTTTGCTGACTATGCTAAGCCAATGAGGCGAATCAGAACCGAAGACCGCATTCCAAGACGATCTAGAATCCTAGACGATCTCCGGAAATAGTCTGAGATATGACTGCTAGACTTTAATCCTGACAAATGCAAGGTTATGGAGCAGGAGCATGAAGACCTCAAATACAGTACAGGATGAAGGAAAGACAACCTGCAACTAATGCAAACAAAGAGGAAGACTGAGGAGTGGACGTAACTGGTGGAGATCTAGCACCAGAGGAACACATCAGGAACAGACGGACAAAGATCCATTTCGTGCGCTGTAAACATCAGTTGTGAGACCTATTATAGAGTATGCTGCCCAGGCATGGAACCCCCTACCACAAAAAGCACGAAGGAGTTCGATG